TAGGAAGCTGAACAAAGTTATCTTTCCCTTACAACCAAAAACACACTTCTTTAGACATTCTTCCCGAGCGAGTCCCGTACAGCGCTGCTGAATGAAGCGCGTTGATGGGCGCGCTCTTGCTCTGGTAGAGACAGAGCGCAACGCGTCATAATCTGAAGACCACGCCCACCGGGGGGAAAAACAACCCAACGCTCTCCATTGACTTTCTATTGCGGGAAGCTGCCTCCTTGTCATTTCTGACTTATAACAAAAAACAGAGCAATGCCTAAAAGCTGCTATGTGACAAGGTGTACAGTAAACAGGCTAAAAAAGCCAGAACTACGTTTTTATAAGCGGTCGACCCAAAAAAACGAGCTTTTAGGACACAAAAGTAGAGTGCAACCTGTCATATTACTCTGAGAACCGTGCCCACTGGAGGGAAACGTAATCGACGACATGACCATTCATTATTTTTAATCATGTCAAAGGATTATTTCACCACCCTATGTGAATCTGAGGTGAGGAGATATATTAAGAAACTAAATTTTATTGGTCTATGTCAGTGCCCCTTTTCCTAACCTTCCTTTTGTTTGAGAAATGATCCAACTGAATGGCCCAACGTGAAACATCTACAACTATTTGTGTCCTAAATGCTCATTTTTTGGGTCGACAGCTTACAAAAACGTAGTTCTGGGTTTTTTAGCTTGTTTACTGTACACCTTGTCATATAGCAGCTTTTAGGTATTGCTCTGTTTTTTGTTATAAGTCAGAGATGACAAGGAGGCAGCTTCCCGCAATAGACCAATTACAGTGTTTGCAAACAGTGATGACGTTTTTGTGGGCGGAGTCTATCTGGTGGCAGAAAATGCCCGTTTTAACGTAGCAGTCTATGCAAGCCATGGAATAAAAGAATAAAAAAAGTTACATTTTGAGTTTTTATTTCAAAATTCTGACTTTTTTCTTGCAATTCAGAGATTATATCTCACAATTCTGATAAGAAAAAAAATCAACTCGTCATTCTCTCTTTTCCCCTCGGCTCAGAATCATGAGTTTATATCCCA